TGGAAGGGCCCTCTGTGGGCCCCCGAGCCCACCCCCCCTGCCGAAGCAGGGTCACCCAGAGCAGGCTGCACAGGACCGCGTCCAGGCGGGTCTTGAATATCTCCAGAGAAGGAGACGAAAAGGCAAGCGTGAAGCATCATCTGGCCAAAAGTTCTGCCTCACCATCTTAACCACCTCTGCTGCAGACGCATCCCCAGAGTGCCCCGAAGTCCCATCTCTTCCCACAGAGGTGATTAACGGATTTTCCAGTGTAGCAGCTGAATTAGGAGAGGAGGAAACAAGGAAAACATTGGAGAAGCAGAAATGCAGCTCACCTCCACCACGAGCCGCTTGGCAGAGAACCAGACTTGTTTCATCTCATCACTTCAACAATCTTCCCTTGCTTTTTTTTTCCCCACAGTCCTTCCAGTTTCAAACAGTTCAAACATTTCCCTGAACTTTTTGAAAAATGAAAAAAATGTCGAGGCAGAAGCTCTCCTGTGTCGGAGTTCGTAAGAAATTTTGCTCATCCTAACACTGCAGTTTCCAAAAATGTTACTGATTTCCATAGCCATTGGAAATTCTGTTTTGTTTTTATTTCAAAGCTTCGAAGCTATTTCACATCGGGAAACACGTGAGATGGATGGTCCACAGATTCAGGGATGGTCCAGAGATCACAGAATCATAGAATTGTAGAATCATTAAGGTTGGAAAAGACCTCTAAGATCACCAAGTCCAACCATCAACCCAACACCACCACGCCTGCTAAACCATGTCCTGATGGATGGTCCTGACGGGGTCCAGTGATCCTTCTGCATGTCCAGCGATGAGACACAGCATCCCTGTGTCCCTCTGAAACCTTCCTACTGGGAACGCTGCAGGTCCATCACACGAACGAGACTGGATTCACCATCAGATAATTTGTAAGATAAGCAAGAAGGAGCTGATGATAAAAGATGGGGACAAAATCCTACCGCTTGGTTTCGGAAGCAGAGCCAGGGGCTCATGCCCCTGCTTGACCAGAGGTGCAAAACCCAGTTGCTATCCCAGTTTGAGCTCCCAGTGTAACTGGTTTATTGACTCACAAGGAACACCAGTCCCACCAAAACCCACAGAGAGTAGTGGGGGAATAACTCTCCTGCTCGGTGAATCGGAGCAGCTCGGAGCACGCGTGAGGAAAAGCAGAGCAAGTGTTTCCTACCTGGCTCGTCCTCCGACTCGTCCTCGTCCATCTCCACTTTGCAGCTCTGGTCACCGGGGGATGCCGAGGACTGGAGGGAGATGAAGGACGGCAGCTTTTGCAGCCAGTTGGTTGCCGAGGCGTCCGTCTCCTTCCAAAACTTCACCTCTTGCTCCGCGCTGGAGGGTCCGGGCATTTCCCCATCATCGTGGAGCTGAGCCGGATCGTTCCTACAGGGGAAGAAAAATAATAAGCAAAAAATAAAACGATCCTTCTGGGCAACATCACGTGCAACGGGAGAGGCTGGGTTGAACCACTGGAGCTGCACACAGAGGCTCCCTTGGCTCGATCCCAGGCTGCCCCGTATCTCCAGGCTCCCGGGAGCCAGCTCGGATTCAGCCGGAGTTTCTCACTCCGCAGCTGGATTCCTTGCCCCGCTCTCCCCTGCAGCTCTCAGATGCTCATGGAGGTGCTGGGCTCCCCTTCGGGTGCCGGCTGGGCAGAGCGAGTGAAGGAGAGGACAGACGGAAGGTATGGGGAGCAGGGATGGCTTGGAGAAACCCCGCTGGGCTTGGCTCGGCCCCAGCCCTGCCGTCCCCCTCCGAGCCCAGCTAACGTTACCCTTCAGCTCGTTTGATACCTCCGATGACGGTGCCAATAAAGCAAAAAAAAAACCCCTCCCGAGCTGCCTTCAAGCTCGGGCGCGCTCCCTTCCCAGCGGAGGATGCCAGGAGCCGGCCCCGGGATGGGAGGAGGGTGCCTCCCCACCACCCAGACCTCTGCTCATGCCTCCTTACGTAAAAAGAGCGAGGAGCTATTTTACACCTCGTTTGCACCGGTGACGTGAGCCCGGTGTCATTCCAAGGTTCTTCTGTCATTCGGGATAAGTTCAGAGAGCCCACTGAGCACTTGTCCCCCTCTGCTACCTTACAAGGCAGGATCAGGATGAGGCCCAGGACCAAGCAAGACCACGGACCAGACTGGCACAGCTCCCAGGTCCTCCCCGTTTCCATCCCACCTTCACCTTCATGTCCCACCACAAAGAGCCAAAGAGTAACTGAGCATCCAAGTTGGTATTTTCTCCTCCCACTAACCAGGATTTTTAAATCTTGGCTTTTTAATTTTAATTATGCTGGGATGTCGTCATTCTGCAGGCAGGGCTTGGGGGTGAGGATAGAGGAAGGCAAGGATGTGCCAAGCTCATGAAAAATCTGTCTCCCTGTGGGGATAAGGAACAACATGTCCCTCAGCCTGCAGGCTCCATCCCAGCACCCAAAAGCATCAGAGGTAGCTCAGAGAGCTTCCAAAGATTAACCAAGAAACCAGCTCAGCATCAAAAGGCTTTACAAAGCCTATGGTATCTCCATGTCCATCTCCATCTCTGCTTCTTCAGGCAGTGAATGCAGTCCTGATGGTGAGCCCCTCCATGCCACGCCAAGGGCTCAGCTCTCCGCCGTGGATTTGAAGAAGAGAGATGCTGGTTTCCAGTTTCCCACAGAGCTATGGATACACTGTACCCACTTTTGGTGGTGGAGTCTCCATCAGAGCTCCTCCATTTCCCATGAGGAAGGTCTACAAAAGCCTCAGAGATACCTGGAGGTGCCAAAACCCTCGGCGGCACATTTCTAAGGGCAAAGACACCCACACTCCAGCGACACACACTGGGTAGCAAGATGCAAGCTATCATCTCTTTCCATCTGCTCTGCCTGGAGACCTGTCCCTTGAGCACGGATCCTGCCCAACCCTACTGTCCATGGTGGCTTTATCAAGAAGTCATCACTGTGACCCACATCATCAACATCTTAAAATAAACCAGCCCACAGATGGATACACGCCTGAAAGAGAAAACACCCAGAGCAGGCTGGGAAGAAAAGTGTTTAAGAGCAGCAAAGAGTTTCTTCTGCTCTTTCCCACCTGCCCGTCTCCTCCTGAACTCGTCTCCACTTGGCGGGGCGGTCGCTGCGGTCCCCATCTTCTGCCTCTCTCGGGTGGCGCTTCTTCTGCGGGTGCAGCAGCTTGCACCGGGCACCGCTGGGACAGACGCCTTTCTTGGCAAAGTCGGGGCAAACCAGCGTGTGCTTCTTCTTGCACTGCGAGGGAAAAAGAGAGCAAAGTTGGGAAAGGCAGCGTGAGACCTGCAGGGAGCACAGGTTCTGAGCTGGGCTCCTGCAGCTGGCACCAACACATTGCTAAAGGAAGAGC